AGTCGCATTTGTTGCAGAATAAATGACCTATTCTTCTGCCACGCAACCATCGCATGCGAAGAAGACGAGCTTCCTGAAAAAGAACACTCGCTGGGTTCACCGCAACACAAGTATGGGATCAGTATAAAACTTTACTCGATTGGGAACGAAACGTGACCTGGAAATCTTGAGAACGCAGTATAACGGTATAGATCTGATTGGATCTCGTCAGCATTGCAAACCCAACCGAGGATTGTGAACCCCAGACAGGGGGCAAGCATATTATCCAATTGATCACAGTGCAGCTGCTCCGATTGTTTCATTTTGTCTATACGCCATAAAGCCTAATCCATCATTTCAAACTTGTTGCGGGCATCACATATGATTCAGATTAGCGACAGTCTCACGGTTTATGACTCTATCGGTTCCAGCAAGACTGAAACACATACACAGTGCTTCTTGGGTTTTACAGTTCACATTAGATTTGCTCTGTATACGACGAAATTCTTCATTAAATTACTAATCAAATAGAACATTAAACTCGTTTGAGGATAGAAGTAGACCAAACCAATCGGTACGTGCATCAATGACTATTATATTTTTCCGTGGGTTCAAATTTCAGATTCCAATTTTTATCACGGGAAAAACTTACAAAGACTTCACTTATCAGTTCCCATAGGGTGTTCACACTTAGGGTTCGGAACACGAGTCAAAAGATCACAATAAGTCCATATAAGTAAAATAGTAATGTAATGTTTTTGACGCGCATAGGAAAATGTTCTTGTAGTTGGATGTTGAAACATAATGTTCGCGAGAGCTGACGCTTGAAAGGTACTAATACTGGGGCACAGACCGATTGAGGTGGTAGAAAATTCAATGTGCTGCACACTAATTGCAAACGAATGGCGTCTGCAGTCGAGACGGCTTTTTTGAAGTGCCAACTTCAGCGGATGCCCTCTCAGATCAACATTGATTGATAGAACCAAAAGAGATCTATATAGATAATTGGACTGTTGGGAAATCCGATACAGTAAGATCATATCACCTCTGATTTGATGGTATTGAGACGAATACAGCCCCAATAGCTGTAATATTTCGTCACAGGTCTTGGAATGTAGATCTTAGACCATCTTGGTAACCGTTCTCTGATGATGTTCGAGAGCCTTCCGATCTCGCTGCAGTCATCGGTTCCAAGCCTAAATTGAATACTCGGTGTATGGACGGATATGTGGCTAACAGGCGTGGAAACAAAGCCGGCTCAAACGATCCAAAAGCAGTCCAACCTGTTTTACCGCCATGGATGATGCCTTGAAACAGTTTGTGGAGCAACTCAAGTCTGTGCGAATGACTACTCCCAGATCCTTCTCAGATGGAGCATGAGGCAGAGTTTCGTGTCCGAGGATGTAGGAAAAACGACAATTGTGACGAAGTGATAAGATTTTGCTTTTAGTAAGGTTAAATTCCATGTCATTGGAGACAGACCATCTGTGGGCTTCGTCAAGGGCGTTCTGGAGATCAAAGGAATCTTCTGGTTTTGTTATTGTCCTCCACATTTTGGCATCGTCTGCAAACAGTGGTCCGACGACATCTGGAAGGTCATTTATAAAGTCAAGGAAAAGACGTGGGCCTAGCACAGATCCCTGTGGAACCTCATGATTGATATCTATTGGATCAGAAAGTGAATCGGAAACACGAACTGACATTGTACATAGGCGAAGAAACTCCTCGATTCAGACAAGTACAAGTCCACGGATTCCATAGTTATACAGCTTCCGTATCAGTATTTGATGGTTCACTCTATCAAATGCTTTAGAGAAGTCCAGGTAAATAACATCTACCGCTTTACCTTGGTGTAGAGCATGGGTCCAATCGTCCCGAGCCAAAATCAAGTTAGTTAGTCTGCGCGTGAACGATTTTTCCGAAACCCGTGCTGGACTTGGGATAGTAAGCCATTACTCTCCAGATGATTCATTACAGAATCCACAACAATGGATTTCACTACTTTTGACAACACTGGGAGGAGAGTGACGGGTCGGTATTGATGCCTTGCGTATATTTACTCAGCTTATTTACGTATATTTAAACATACCGTTGTGCACTTGAATATTAATGGCTCTTCTAATATTTGTTTGATCGGTTGAAAATTATTGGACCCCAAATACCGACGCGAGTTGTTACGTTGTGTCAGCTAATGAGAAGCATTTGAAACGGAAGAAAAAGGCATAAACAGTGCTTAGTAAGACGCTTCCTCCAAAATATCATTAAAAATAACTTCATTTTTTCCCACGACGTAATTGAATATCCCAATTTCGTAATCTGTTCTCGTACCCTTGTGAACACAAAAGGTGGTGCCCCGTATAGCCTTTGTCTCCACGCGCTCCAGCAACTGTGCTGAAACATTGGGCTCGTGAACTTCGGATTAGTCTGTTTTAGTAAACTAAACTGATGTCAAGTCAAATCAAGTAAGTGGTTCGTGTATCAGAAAACAACCGTTTTCTTTGTTGGTGAAGAGCGCCCGAAAAGTGAGCATGGCCGAATTTTATCAAAATTCGAAGTGAAGACGAACATATAGTTTCGATGAATTCAAGCCTGTGCAATCATACACACTGGAGGCGACAACACAATTGCTACTTACAGAGATTGAACGAAAAAAAAGTTGTCAAATCGCATCTGAGAACGCTAGCTTAGACATGGAGGGAGTAGAGTAGTCCCAAGTTTGATTGTCGCTTACCTAGTGGCAACGGGACATGCGATAGACGATTCAACCTTTCTCATTACCAGCAGGGTTTCTTCGAACAAATCAGAGAAGGCAGGATTTCGAACACTGGAAAAGGTTGAGATCATTAGCATTGACCTGACCTAATTGATCAACGCATTTCGGTTCAGATAGTTCAAATTGCACAATTAAGGGAACGATTACATCGTGCGTAAGCCTGGTTGGTGATGCCCCAGATCCATTCGTTCTTCATCACGATACCCTGTGATTAATGACTGATTGGACACATCCGTCTCTTCATCCTCATACCGAACCACGGAGTTGCGGCAAATTGACTCGCGCATTCACATTGCTGTTTCCAATACACACGAATGTATAGTACCGAAGCGAAGAGAGCAGTCGCCCCTTTTAGGCACCTTAAAACGTGAGGGTGGCAATCAGTAGCTGGCTACTTTGATGCTTATGAGCAGTCAGTTTGGGAAAGCTACCGTTGTCCCATAAGCATAGGTTCTTTGAGTGAGCCTTATTCCTAACTTGCCACCACCGACAGTTATCGTGAAATACGTAATTCAAAGAAGATCATCGGAGAACACCCATATCCAATCGATACCTCGCAACTTTTTAAAGAACTAAGTAGACACTATAACAGATAAGTAGTCAAGTTAACCTCGCTTTGGATTGGATAGGTAGGATTCCACAATGATGTTATCTTCCGCAGTGACAAAGATCACTGGACGACTGTTTCGTCCTGCGTGGGACTCATCAACAATGAGTACTTTTGTGTCCCTGTCAGGATTCGAAACGCAAACATCCGGGTTGGGACATCAAACCCTTACCTGTGAGCTACACGGTAGGCGGTCACCACCTTGTGCGAATGGCTCAATCAATTTAGACGGTGAATGTATGGATTAGTCCATTCGGTCTTTCACAGGCACCTGTGAAAAACAGAATGTGCTCATCCAAACAGTAACCGTCTGAATTCAATATAACTGTTTGTCTCAGCGATAGAATCCGTGAACATATGGAGAGTGTAAAAACTGAAATAATCTATGATTGGAAAACAGAGTATGAGTACTTAAGTGTGTATGGAGGTCGGTAGATGGAACTTTGAATCTCAGTACCGAATGTAGCTAGGAATAGTACGTTTACACGTTTACGGAGGAAATCCGAAATGAGCTGTGAAAAGCTACTACTTACCCTAGCAGCAAACCCCAACAGTGATGTGAAAAAAGTAGAGCAATCTACGATTCCAATCAGCTGAAGGAAGTTTTTATGCGGGAGTCCGTCGCAAACACCCCGATCATGAATCAACTGAATTAAGACACATTTGAAAGGCGATCTCATTTTTTGCCTTCATCAATAGATCCAGTATAAGTTCACAGACCACTGCATTTCATGTTTGGTGGTGGTGGTGATGGCGATAGTGTGGTAGTGATGGTGATGATGGAAATGTACATCAGGCGACCGGTACCACGATGCAGCGGTCTATTGGAGTGGGGGTTGGGCTAAGATGCAGATAAAGAGAAAAAAAATCGGAAGGGACAAATGTAAGGTGTGATGAAGTTTGGTTTAGAGGGTAAAAATGCGCTGTGGAAACAGAAATCCTTTCGGAACCATAATGGGGTCAAAATGAGGCCGGGATAGGGAAGCGCAGACGTGGCCGTCGAAACAGGAGAGCGGAGAGCAGGATGAGTCTGCAATAGCAACAATGCTGGTGCTGAAAACAAAGATGCGTGAGGTGGGGGAGGGGATAAACTAGATCGAATTTTTTTGAGAAAAATTATGTTTTCGTAGGCCGGTGGACATATTGTGTCCATGTGTGTATTTGTATGCGAGAAAATAGAAAAATAAGCTCATGAATTGAATTTCGTATTCGGATCGGGCAATGTCAGGGATGAAATATATTCGCAAACCTATCACATGTGCTGAGAACAGTAAGGGACCGAGTGAGAGACAGGAGAAGTGGGAACGTAATTAGGTGACCTGATTGCCAGACTAGAGACGACCAGGACGAAGCGGTGTTCAAACATTACGCCCAGCTCGTCTTAACATTGCAGGTGAGTGAATGGGCATGAAAAACAGAGCTAGATCCATCAGCGTCTCGGGCTGGGATAGAGCAAGCCAACTATACACCATTAGCCAGTCCCATTTCGGGCAGGTAATGGATCGGGGCGCAAATGTAAGGCAAACACAAGGCATCTTGAACACGTTTGTGATGAGATTAAAATGAGTGACAATGAATCTGCTAGGAGGAAGGAGGTACACAGGTCCAGAGACAGTGTTTGGGGGTTCTTTTCCCGGGAGATCACGGAGTTCTAATGGCTGACACGGATGTATGCGTCTTCATATCCGGTTCTGGCGGGCAATGTGATCCCCGAACTGACTGACCAGATGCATTTGGGCTGGAAGAATCGATTCCAAGGGACGGTTCCATATTGAGTCGTAGAGCTAGCGATTCCAGGGTGCGTTTTAATGAGCGATACTCGTGATATTTGTCACGCATGGGTCTGCGGTCTGACTTGCTTGGTGGACGGCCTATGCGGAATGAAAAATAAGAGAGAGTGGGAATGGATAGCAATCTGTAAAATGATAACTCAGCAGGAGGGCACATTTTCACTAATCATATCAGTCCGATTCGCGCAACAAAACATACGGGTGATGATGATCAGATTGATAACAGATTCATTTTTTCCCGGAAGAACCAGACAACCAAAAATTTTGTCTTTCCAGCTCCATGACCGGATGTTGCTCACACAGGCGCACTGGTTCGGATCATTAGGGGTGGGTGGGGGATGGCTGTGTCGTGTGTGGTGCTGGCCATGGAAGACCGAGTGTTCTTACGAATTGTTTTTGGGAGTATAGGGGAGGGAGAATATATAGGCGGATTAGCAGCTGTCGATCTAAGAGGATTAGAAGTCGCATTCTGGCCACAGCAGAAGCGATCGGAATCTTCCATAGAAGTGGGGGGAGGGGGGGTTGTATACGGCCCCCTCATTTTCCCCAGAACAATTCGTAAGACCACTAGGTCTTCCATGGCCAACACCATAAATGACACAACCATTCCCCCATGCACCTCTAACGACCCGAAACAGTACGCATGTGTGACGACCAAAGTGTGACCAACATACGGAACTGGAATGCTGATTATTTTTTTCCAACCTGTCATGATTTCTCCCCGCCCCCTACAAAACAGCTTGATACAATTTGGGATGTATTAGCCTGTAGAAGAATCTCAGAGCAAACGAGCTTGTTCGCTACTCTGTGTTTTCTTACAATGTATAATGATGGCGTATTTGGACAACAGTCAACTTTGTTAATTGGAAGCATAGTTTCCCCTAAATGAATTTGAATAGAGAAGCCAAAAATAAAGGTTCGCACAATGTATCCTGGATCATTTCGCTGCATCTGTACATGTGCATATTGCAGTTTATGGTTCTGTTATTTACTGATCACATAAACTGCAGTATGCACGTGTACAGCGAAATGATCAAGGATGCATTGTGCAAACCTGTTTTTTGGCTTCTCTGGTCAAACTTCGTTAATCCTGATAAGATAGGATTAGTACATTGTGAATTTCATCGTGTGCGATGAAAAGCAACTATGAATTGTTAAGTTCGGAAGCACATCGTATCGATTTCGACCTTGTCGAGTTTCATCAGTCGTGGGAGTCCATACACTAAACTGCGAATCGAACTCGAGTGGTGGTATGCATCTGACCCACTTAACTTAAACCTACATCGATTGCCCGGTATGCCACCAAGGTTTTGACATCACTGTTACCGACCACACTGTCGCACCAGATGATCAGAGAAACAGAATATAGTGTAATAGAAAAAGGGGACAGATCGTATTGTGAAAACCACAGTGGAATTAGTTTGATCAACATTGCCTGTAAACAGGATAAAGATGAATTGTCGGTGTTTGAACACTGTCGTCTAGGCAGAATTACACGAGTATGGTGAGGATACTGGACAAGCTATGCTGAAGTTAGGTGCAGAGTTTTAGGTAAACACGGTTGTCAATTGAAACAATTGGTCAACCTCCACAGACTACAGTGGTTGGGACATGCGTCACATGTCACCAAATCAGTTTCCACGGCGTACGATGCTTGCCGAGAATGGTAGTGGGTGGTAATATGCCAAAGGTGGTCAAACTAAGAGACTATGAAAGTATTAACCAGGACAATTGGTCATATAAGTCGCCTTAGGCTCCCTCGGACCTCGGGATCATTGCCATCAATGGCTAGCGAAACAGTGAGTGTCGTAAACAGTGGCGCTCATGCATCTCCTTAATTTCTTTGCAACCTCAGGCTACTGGTATTCTTCATGTTATCTTCGACGCTACTCTGAAATTTGCAGTCTTTCTTCTACTCCTTCATCCAAACGGGCAGCCGAAAACCAGCAATCAAAACCGGCGCACGCAAATGAATGGTTAATAGTCGAAAACACTGAAGCATAAAGATTCATGTCTCTTCGGGAATGCGGCCAGATGGAACTGAGTGGTCACGAACTGCGTAAAGCCTGATAACGCGGATGACTGTGATATAACATTCTATCCATCCGATAATTGAATTCGGAAAGTGAGTTGGCGTATTTTATGATTGAGGATGAAGTATCAATACTTTTGTTTATTGCTATCACCGTATAAAAGACGAGATGCACGGACGAAAACAACGCTGAAAGTCGGTTGGAGCATAGCAGGAAGACAAAGCATATTAAATGCATCTGGTAATACGATAACACTATCAAATTTCAGATCCCGTTCAAGGACTTCCAGAAAACAAATTGGCGGTTTACTGCGCTGTTTACGATAAGCAGAGGGGAGGCGGAGTAAACTGAACGAACTATTTGCAACGAAAACGAATTAGAAGAAGATAATGGGTATCGCAAATAGAAGTCTGAATACGCCCGTGTGAATCTGAAACGTTTGAGAGCGGTCACACGATTTTATTGTTTTCCGTCGCGTATAAAAAGTTACACTTTATCGTTTTCCTGCCCAGAAAAGTAACTTCAGTCCTATAGTTAATCATCAATGTGAAGACATTTGAAAAGCGATTGAAAAATCAGGATTCTTTATATTTGGCTTGTGAAATCGATGGTGAGAAAAGCTTTGAAAAATTTGATTACCTTTTACTTGTTCAATACTGGTTTCGAACTCGCGCAATTCGTGTTGCAACGCCCGTTTCTTTCCCCATATGTGTCTCCATTCCAAAAGCAGTTCTTCTCGTGTGATGGGTGGGTGATAGCTTTATATAAGGTATGGGTAAAAAATAAAATATCATATAAATAATACAACATAATTTGTATTAATCCCAACGTTACCCAAATTGTCTCGGTTGAATACGATGTATCGAAACATAAAACTTTATTCGTTGCCCATTACGTAACACACTACTCCTGTAGTGAGAATGGCTCACGTGATATGCACAAAAAGAATCTAAGCGATACCACTTTACCAACTGTAGTCTGGGGTTTGTGTTCCTTGACAGGTTGCTTCATATCTATTTTGGATAATATGGTGTCCAATCGAGGCTGTTGTTGTTGTTAAATGTCGGAAATAATATTTGCTAAATCTATTCCAAAATTGGTAAACTATGGTTTGATGGAATATACTGCTGACGAGTAAATCATACATTAGAAAACCGAGGCTAAACTATTTTTGAACTAAAAAGATCAAGGAAAAATTTGATCAATGTCAAATAATATTCACAATAAGAGTTGGAAAGACAATTCCGATTAGAGTGGGCGGTGATAGCTCCATAAAAATGGGCAAATTCAGGCGATGGTGGTAGGATTCGTACACACGTCCTCCGGGGTGATAGTTTGGTACATTACCACCGGGTCACGACCGACCGCGTACGAGATTGGGAACAGGGGAAGGATCAGTAGACTAATGCCTAAGGCGATCTGCGTTTTACTGAGTTAGCGTCTGTGAACGAGCAATAACAGTACCCGAGGATGTGATGTTTTCTTACTTGGCAAGCGTTCCCCCTGTAAAACGTCTCGAGAGTCTGACGACGGTAATGTGATGTGGTCAATGGGATCCGTTACCAGTAAAACCATCGCTCCCCGCTCCGTCCTGTCTATTAAACATAGGTTTCTGGGAGAGGCCAATCAACCAAACACATGGCAACCGGCTTATCTGGCACAACACTGTTGCCACACCGGTTGCGTAGGTGCAAAGGCCAGAGGTATAACTGCGAATTATATAGGGTTGATTGGTGCTGGGGAAACTGGTTCTAATTTCCGACGAGCTCCGTGGAGTATTATCTTGTGTTCATGGAACTGACTTGCTGGCGAGAGGTGGTCGTGTCAAACTTCTGAAAAACGTATGTGCTCGGAAGTTGAAGGTCAGAGGTTCGAACCATACCACAGGTACACAACTTCGATGGTACGTAGATTCACTATCAATCGACTCGATACTAAGTTTACTCTGTTGAAACCTCGTTTTACTCGCCGCACCACGTTCGAGAGGGGGGGGGGCGGGCTCTTGATCTCCACAAACGAACATCAGGTATTTGGGACTATTGGGTTTCACCCCGACTATTCATCACACACCGGTGTCATGAAAAAGGTGTGTGGTTACTCGTTAGCAGCCCATTCACACCAGCTGAGAATTTGTGGATGATGGTCACTTAAAGAGAAGAAACACTTATTTGTTAGAGTGAGGGAGAGTGGGCTAACCCACCAACTGACGGGAGGGAATTCAGGTCATTAAACCAAGTGGATGAACTACTGGATCACCATGCTGTCAGCTATTCGGGCCCGGAGTCGCTCAAGTTATAGCCCGATGGTTGATTTGACAACTGACCGACCGGAAGGCACGCACGCACGCACACACACACACACACACACACCTTTCACCCGGTAAGTGAAAACATTCATCTTTTCAAACACACAAGACCGATATCGAAAACGTCTAGCGGGAGAAAAATATTCATTTCGAAGATGGGCACGCGATCCGCGCAAACATTTTATGCGTTTGCGGTACACATATGACAAACGGGATGTTTTGGAAAAGTGCAGCACACACGCACAACATGTGACTTCGAATACGACAAGAAAAAGGTCACGGTAGAGCGCAGGGGAAAGAACCCAGTTGCGATAAACGGTAAACTTGACTTGTGCGAACAACACTGTTTTAAGAAAACAAAGAACAACTAAAAAACCAGCGGTGGGGAGCGGAAATGCCGGTCGGTAAAAATCTATTAAACTTTTTTTGCGTGTTAATCACATTCAGAAGAGATGTACATAATCCGGCAAATTATGAAACGACATATGGTTTCCTATAAATTCCCTCCAATTCTTAAAAAGCTAATTTATTAAACAAATGACAACTAGATGGTAAACTTTTTATGGCCTGTTCAGATAACATTTTCACTGTAGCATTTTCTAACGGAATACAAATTATGCGATCCGAGCGATGACAGAAAACGGGAGTTTTTTGTCTCCGAATTCGAAACATTTTCCGTCTTGCTTTGGCTGTGAGAGATAGATATTATACTTGGTTACAATGCCAATGAAAAAGAGCCGAATCTTCCAAAATTATTTCCATAGTTTGCCATTTAGCAGACCACAAACACATTTTTCGTCCATGTTGTGATCAAATGTTAACAACTCAAATCTGACCTGTGAAAATATAATAGATGAAGTGGAAATTTTCTCACCTTACTGCAACGAATATGCTAATTCAATGATCTGGGACTGCAAATGAAAACGCATCAACCGAACTGTGTATAGGATAGGAATGCGTAGAAGGTAAATATTGAAGAGCAGAGGCGAGTCCATATTTGGAGTCAAGATGTGAAATCCTAGATGGATTTGGATATGAAGATCAAAAAGGTATTAGACTGAAGTGCGTTGCTTTTTATCTTCACCCTACCACGAATAATAGGCTCAATTAATTCGTAGACCGTAGACACCTCCTCGCTCCAACGATGGGGGCTGAATGACCGGTGAAAACAATGGGTTAGAGCAGTGGATCTCAGGGAGGCAGTTCATCTTTCTTTAGTGTACATTAATGCCGTATAGAAATTGTTGTCCGTTCATTAAAATGGCTCTCAAGCGTTTTCGGCGAGACGTGACCCTTGTTCGATCCCGATGGATTAGGAACGAAATTCATGCACATACTGTTTTCCGTGATTACAAACAACATGGAATGAAATAGATGAAACGCTTCAATCAAACAACTGATAGCAGCGGACATGGGGAACAAAATGAAATCGGTTTCGATTTGGATGCCAGTCCCTTTTAGCTGTTGGTTAACATGGAAAGTTCGAGATGGACAACATCAACTCCGGCACCAACCAAACTCTCTACCTGTCGTTGCCAACCGCACAATAATGATGAGGCATTATAGAATTCAAGTACTACTTTCTTGCTCAGGCGGATAAATGGTCTCAGTTTTACCTCAAAAAGGCATTTCCTTTTTATCATTGTACACAATAATACTTGAGCGCTGTTTATGCATCTTTACAGTCTGTAGTATGCAAACGACTTGAAAAAATTTCCAAGACCAGTTTTGCGGTTCTTGCCGCTCCTCAGGCATGCGCATCTGATAATTTTTCATCAGCTCGTTCATATACTTGCACCTAGGAATTCTGTTTTCGACACAAATATCTCATTTGCAACAACACCAGGCGAATTTATTTCAGATCCAGTCCATAGAAAAATCAATTTTACGATTCGATATTTGTAGGTGGGTTAGATGCTACTAATCGCAACAAACGTAATTCTGAAAAAGCTGTCCGAAAAAAAATAATCGAAGTTGCAAATGAGGTTATTGTGATGAAAATACACTTCCTGGGTACAAGTACGTGAATAAGCTGACACAAGATTTCAAGTGAGTAATGGAGGATTGTTTAAATTGCAAAGGTAAATTCGTCGTGTATATAGCAAATGAAGCGTGAACTGAAAAGCTAGGAAGCACTGGACAGCTGCTTCGACCTGGTTGGGTCTCAACAGCAGTGCGAATCCATCGACCCGACTGGGGATCGAACCCGGGACTTCAAGGGCAGGACGCAAGCATGCTACACACTCTGCCACCGGGCAGCTGATCAGACCGTTTTTCATTTTCCATTTACACGATACAGCATAACCCATCTTTGCAAGCTTGTTGCGGGCCACAGACCCTGCTCACCTCAGTACTAGTCTCCTGGTTATGACTCGGTTGGAAACATTCACAACCTCATTACTTATTTCAAGTGCGTAATGGAGGATTCGGTTAAATTATAAAAGGTGAATTCATCGTGTATATAGATGGGATACGCATGTATCACGAGCGGCAAGAACCGTGAAGCTGGTCGTGTGCTTCCAGGGAAATTTTGTCCAGCCATTCATATGCTATTTATTAAGGTACATACCAGAGCAAGTGGAGTAATCATGGCCCGGATTCATGCATGAGATAAAACTGATATAACCGAGACAAGTGCTCATGAGAGGAAAGTGATCACCGATTTCGGAAGAACTATATCAGCTCAAACTGCACAGAGTTAACTCGACAAGTGTACGGTCTCGAGAAAATAATTGCACGTGTATAAAAAAATGGAGTAAAAGTTGATATTGCTTATCGTGAGGACATAAGTGGTGAATATAGGAGTAATGGGGAGAGTGAGATGAACCTTAATACGGACGTTCGAAAACAGGAAAAAGTGGGGCTAGTAAAAGATGTGAAAAACTCCATCCAAATGGCATTCAAACAAATAGGTCGCGTGTATTTTTAACAGCTGATGAATAACGGGAAGAAACACATCAAAACCCCGGGGCTAGAACCTTTCCGATTCAAAACTTGCGATCCCCAGTGGTCATGGCCGACTGGTCATAACGAGCCCGGTCTATAGTTTAAATACTAGGATCCCACCTTCATCAAACAGACCACTCAGCTGCGTCAGTTTTCGGACAGTATTCATTTGGCGGCATTCCAGCATTGAAATAGGATCGTGTGTCAGTAAATAAAAAAGTACTATTTTATGGTGAATTTCTTCGGGTAGACAGCAAATGAAGCGTAAACTGAAACACTGGACAGCTGTTTCCACCTGGTTGGGTTTCACCAGCAGTGCATCTAAAAGATTGCTTGTTTGTGCATCAGAAGTTAATTGAGATCAACAATGATTGACTAGGTAACAGCGCACTGTTTATCGTCCGACACCAAATGGAAATCGCATTAGAATCGTTCGGATGAGTACTAACCTCTTTTTTGACCAAATACTACAGTATGAAAAATAATATGAGGACCGAACCTAGTATG